TTCAGAAAGTGTAAATTAAGTGGCTCCTGTTTTTGTCTCCTGCCACCAGTGACTTTGTTCTATAATGCTCAATAGTTTTGTATTAATTGCCTGAAGAGACTTTGTTCAGCAATCTAATGAGTAGAAGTGTCAATGTAGATCTGTTGTTTAGAGCTAGGTAAAAATAATGATTAACAACTTGATTTTTGTTTAAAAGTAACCAGTAAGACCCAAAAGTGTCTCCCATTGTCTTGTGATTGCACTTAGTGATACAGACCATCCCAGTTCATGAGGGAGCCCAGCACAAATGTTGTGATTACTGTTCAGCCCTCCTGTGTTTTCTTGTTTCCTCCCCATGTGTGGAAGCAGGGGTTTGCCCAAGATTGAACTCCTGCAACTTTGGGAAGGTTTTGGCTTTCTTCTAGATTGTACTGTATATCCTTGAAAAAAAAAAAAAATCTTTTTTTTGTCTTCTGGGTTTATCTTTCCCTTTCAAAAATACTGCCTTTAAAATTTAATTAGTAGAAGAAATAATTTTAAATTAAAAATAAATAAATATTTATTAAAATATTGAAAAAATTCCTTTCCCCAGAGTTTGGAAGGGAGCTTAACTTGCAACTAATTCTTGGGCTGATTTTCCCTTTTGTCACCTGAAGTTCCTCCCCAGGCTTTTTCTTTTCCATCTATTATCCCAGATGACATTCTGCTGTTGATGGCCCATCAACCTCAAGTTTTGAGGCTGGCCCTCTAAGGTGACACTGGCTAATTTGAATATGATCCCTGGAAACTCATTACTGAGCCTCTGGCAAAAGGGGAGGTGGCGTATAAACCAAGCCTACAGTGATGGTCAAACCCTCCTCACCCTGACGAGTGTGGTAGCCACTCTGCCTAATGGGACCTGTTTGCTCTAGTCAGTCTGAATTGTTTCAGGATGTCCCTTGCCTGCTTTGGGACACCCCTAGTAGTGCAGGGAAAACAAATATAAGAAGAAAAAAGGTTGGATGCACAAAATCGAACATTCCTAGTCCTTCCACAATCATATAAACCTTATTTTCAGTAATGTTTAAATTTAAAAAATCATCAAAGTAATTCTGAAGTTTTTTTCTCTAGTGATTCATAAACTTGTATAAAATATTTAGACCTTTCTCCCTGTATTAGTGTATCTAGATGTCTAGAAGTGCCAGAAGAGGGCACTGGTAGTTTTGGTCATGTGCTGCTGGGATAAGGCATCTTCCTCACTCTGGCAAGTCTTCTGGCAGTCTCTGGCCATGATCTTTGTTTCCTTGTTGTGCAGCGTCGCGTTAATCAGCTTCAGCACACAAGGAGGAGTTTTATTTACTGGGTGCTAATAATGAGACTTGATTACATGACACTATATAGAATTCCTGTGTGGTTTTCTTTTTCCCCCACAGATTATTTTATTCACATGACTTCTCTTGTGTTTGTTGCTTAATACTATAATCTTTTTAAGATTAATACATAATCTTTTTAAGTACGTGCTGCTTGCATGTCTTTATACCTGTAGGTGGTGCTGAGGTGAAGCAATGTGCTTGTGTTCTCATTATAAGGGTATTTATATTGGTTTGTTTGGCTCTGCTGGCTCCTCAGGTTATCCTACGTTACGGATAGAGAAGAATGATCTTAAAAGCGTCACACTAATGGAAGCAAAAGCTAAAGTGAAGGACATAGCCATCTCCCGGGAGAGGATAACTCTAAAAGATGTGCTTCAAGAAGGTATTTACAGGACTTGGACACTTGTTGACTACAACGTGGTGTATATATATAATTTTTTTGATAGCTAGATTTTTCTGAAATTAATAATGGATGATGTTTCTGATCTTAATGGAGAAGAATGATGAATGTTGTTTGCATTTGAAGTCTGGGGAATTCGTTAGAAAGGGGGAGCAACTAATCGTGCTCAGTAAATCATTCAGCTTGTCTGTCTTAATAATCTGGTCCTTTAAAGCTAAGGGTTAGGTGGCTAAGCGATTAATCAGTCGGAGCTGTAAGTGGCAAAGTAACTCACTTTTGTAAGTTACTGCAGGAGAGCTTCTCTTAATACGCACACGCACATATCAAAACAAAAAAGACCCCAAGCCCACAAAAATCTCGGTCGTCTAAACTCATCTCAACAATCTCAAGCTTCTGATTTGGAAATCTAATCGGCAGATGCAGCATTTAATGCTTACTTTGGAAGTGTTCATGCACAACATTAATTGGTTTTTTACTGATGTTGAACATGGGAAAGAAAATGTTTTTGTCATTAGTCTTTATTGTTGCAGCTTCAAGTCTGTGTTCCCTGAGCCTCGTGAGAAATCATATTTTCCAAAGGTAGAGATCTGAGATACTCATCCTTTGGCAGTAGAACTGCTAAATGCTTTGCATTACTGCCTGAAAAACAATGGGAGGATGCTAACACTCCCTGTTTAATGTATGCCTCTAAATCTCTACGGAGGTAGCTTTATGCTGAACTCCAGTGTCGGTTCTGCAAAAGGCTTCCTTCGCATGAGGGACGTCCTTTGTGTTCTTTTGTACTGTCTGTTGCCTGTAGCTGTGATGTTAGGAGTCATCCGATGATGAGAAGTGACTCAGTGCTACAGCGAAGCTTCAGATGTTCAGCACCAAGTGGCAGAGCTGCCCTGTTCTGCAAGATGCAGCTTAAACGGCTGTTGAATGCAGTGGGGACCCAGTTAATACTGGGATCTTGCTTCTTGGCCTCCAGCTGGTATTCGAGTCTGTCAAAACCTTCAAAAGTTCATCAAAGGACTAGAAGACAGATGCCGATGAACAATCTTCAGTTTTAGTTCAGGATTGTAGCAGAACTGAGCCTCTGTCAACTAAGAACCAAAGAGCTTCAGAGGGGAAGAAGCAAATAATAGAAATGTGTGCATAAAATTTTCAAGAATTCCTAAGTTCTGACAATGGAACTTAAACATATTTCATAGGTCTTGGCCAGAGATTCATTATAAACTTCAAGCAGCTTCCATAACTTAACCTACTTTAACATTTTAATAATTTAGGAGATTATGGTTCTGCTGTGGTGTAACCAGTTGGAAAATGCAAAGCATCAGGTCTGAGAGTGCGCAAAGGAAGAGGGATGTGTAGGGGCCTTTTGTATTGCTGGGCTCATGCAGCACCCAATTCTTAACCTGCATCAAGCTCACGTTGTATAAGATATAAGGCAAAAATGTAGGTGTCTTTAGAAAAAAGAAGTTTCAAACAGAATAGCTGTTTCAAACAGAAAACCCCCAACTGTGGACCATCCAGGCACGCTGTGTTACAGTCCTGTTGTGTTCAGATATTGGATTGCATGGAAATTATTTTCTAGTCATAGCTGCTTTCACATGCTGCTTATTCTCCTTATTTCCAGGATTTAAAAATAGATACATAACTTGATACCATAAGATATTTCACTACAAAAAATGCCATCTTCCCTTTGATGTTTACATATATCTGTGTATTGGAAATATGTATTCAAGGCACTCTTATGATGTCTTTAAGAACCAAGATATGAGGATTTGTAGTTTACTGTTAAATAACTCGTGCTGTATTTTTATGGTTGCCTGTAGTCTCTAGTTAAATTGCTTCTTAATGAGATTATAATTTGAAAATCCCTGTCCTGCAGGGTTTACTTGCAGTCCCAGGGTAGATGATACAAGTGTTGCACTGTTCCTGTTAAGTATTTAGAAACCAAATGAGACCCACACTTTGTGCCAGCAGATGTACAACCAGGCTAAGGCAATCCCTGTCAAAGATCTTTCAACCTAATCAGACAGGACAAACCCATGGGAAAGGGATGCAACATATGCGCAGATTGCATGCAGATGATGCACACGTTGGTGCCATGGTAATAGTGTGACAGAAAAGTGTTGACGACCTGAGTTGTATAAAAAGTTAGTTCTGCAGTGTTACCCGTTGTTTTTCCTCCAGCTGTTCAAGGTAGCTTCTCCTGCAATAGCTTTGTTAAAATTTTGTGAATGGAAAAATGTTGGAGAGACTGAAAAAAACCCAACAAAACCAAACAAACCCAACACCTTCCAGCTGAGGTGAAACATTTGAATAATATGATACTGGTTTTTTTTCACACTGTTCCATGTGTACCGGTTGGGTGAAACCCGTATTTCCCTGTGAACATTTCAAAAAAAAATTCACATTTGTGAGAAATGTTTTGACAGTAAAATTCAAGTCATGCTGGGTGAGAAAAGGATGGAGCTGGAGCTTTTAGTGCAGACAGCTGGCAAAGACTGAACTGCCACAAATAAGCCCATCACCAGTGTGGATAAGTTGGTTTAACTGGATTCTGCTGCTGTCTAGAGTTCACTCTCGTGCTTTTTTAGTTATCTAAACTTTCAGTATTTACTACATACAGTTCTGAATCCAGAAGTGGATTGGGTGCTGGAGAGGTGGTCGGGTTATATATTCTTGGCTTAATAGGGCATTCAGGACTGGTACTTTAAGGGCCCTTTTTCCTGACTTTCTGCTGTGGCTGAATCGTGTTAAGGTAGTGTTTTCTTAATAGATATGAAATGCTGTTAATATTATCAGTGTATTTTTGCCCCATAGTACTTACTGGTTGTATGTTCTCTTCATAGGCACATTTGGGCGCATTTTCCATGGGATTCTAATAGAAGAAAAAGACCCCAGTAAAGAGAAACAAGTTTTTGTCAAAACTGTTAAAGGTATGTTTACATCAAGGAGGGGTTTTTGTGTCCAGTTGTTTGGATTGTGGTGCATGCAGAGTGTATCCAGTCTGTCTGTAAAAATAAATTCTTCCTCCCCTAAATATGCAAATGGCTACTGCTTGAAAAGCAAAAACAAGTTGGATGCTGTCTTCAGCCAGAGAGAACAGAAATCTTATATGGAAGAAAAATGCATGTGTTTTCCCACCAGTGTCTTCAGTTGCTGTGCCTTGAATACTTTTACTTATTATTCTTCCAAGTAAAAAATGTATTTGTTTTTTTCCCGTAGCATGTAATTGCTCTTTCCATCCACAGCCTTTTCCCCTGCAAATTTCTGAAAAAGGCACCTTCCATGTATCCTAAAAATCTTTCATAAACGTGCGTGGCTGTACAAATGCTAGGGCATAGTTTGGGCCATCCTTAAACTGCTGCTGAAGCATGAGAATTATCATCTAGCACTTAATTTATACAAATATAGCATCTTTCTTCAAGAAATATGTTGTTGAAGTGATTTAAATTGTCATAGGTAGACTTAAGAAATGACAAGGTAAGTATAGATGGAAACAGTATTAGATATATTTACATATATCCTACATATGTATTACATCCTACATATATCCCTTCCTCTACACTCGTCATTGTAAGAGTTCTGGAGTAGCTCACAACAGTTTTGCTGAATTCCCTCTACAGTAGTTGCTTCACCAGTTATTTTTGTGATTTCAGTTGGGTGTATTATTGCCTTTGGTTTTTCATTTTACAACTTCTTTAATTCTTTCCTTAAAAAAAAAAATTAGACTTCTTTAAGAATTTCAACTTGTTCTAAATTCTTTTGCCTGGCTAGTAGTTTTTAAGCAGACTAATTTTAAAGGGGAAGGTGGGAATTGGTAAAGCTGCTAAATTTTGTTGTGGTTGAATCTTTCTACTACCCATGTATTCTGTACCATTTTTAAGAAAAATATATTGCTTGAAGAAAGCAACCTTCTATTTATGATTATATTGATTATTACTAATATGGTTATATTGTATTTATAACTTAGATGATTGTTTCTCATGCAATCAGATGCTTGTGATAATAATTTAAAAAATTAGGTGGAAAGCCAGTTAGAAAAAGATTCACGCTCACCTCAAAGGGAGGAATATCTTAAAGTCAACCTGATTTGGAGCAAAAGTAGCTGAAAAAGGTGTCCCAACTTCTTGAAACAGTCAGAAGTGGCAGTTTGGGATGGATGCTGTTGTGTTCTTTAGCTGCAGATTGTTCTTGATGTAGGCCTAGCAGGTTGGTGTGCTTTGGCAGTAAGACAGGTCAGTACCCGGTACCATACCTGCTGCTCTAATAGGATATGTTGAACTTCAAAAGGTCTAACTTATCAGGACTAGGAGCCAGGTGCCAGCTGGGAGTAATCAAATTAGTGTAAAATTAACCTCTCTTCCTGCCTAACAAATCCTGACCTCCGTATCAGCCTGCTGTGGCTGAGCTGTAAGGTGGGCTGGGGACCGACGGTGAAGTGTTGCTTTGTGGGCAGCAGGAGGGTAGTAACCTGTGAGTAAATCTGTCCTGGCATCGAGTCAGCCAGCAGAGCGTGATCTCTGGGATGACTGTTGGTGTTTCTGCTAACAGGTTTCACAGAGGGCTGAACAGTGCGGATTTGCTGCTGTTGCTTTTCCTGCTCTTTTCTCTTGCGCATCCTTGTGGGTGTTCCTAGATTGAGAGTGACAGTTACTCTGGTAATCACAAGATACTTCCATTATTTCTTCAGGAGTGCCTCTGAGGTGGTACAGTTTCATTCTGTGGCACTTTCTCCCCGTTGAGTTCAGAGAGGACTTCTGAAAAGCGGATATGCTGCCCCTTTGGAAGATGTTGGTAGCTACCGTGTGGCATGATGGTGTTAGCTAGAACAGGGTCTGCTGGAAAGAGTCATAGCCTCAACAAAAGTAATGGTCCTCTTATATAAAGGCAAATATCTTCTTGTAGTGACTTCTAACAAGAAGTAAAGGAGCATCCTCAATTAATAAAAAACCCCCATGTTTCTTTCTGATATTTTAGGAACTTTTCCTGGATTCTGCCCTTTTCTGTTTACCTATCCCTGCCAAACAGTCCTGACTGTCATTTTTCTTTTATTTGATGTAGTTTCCAAAAGACTTCTGTATCACATGAGCCTTGTGCTCCTCTGTGTACGATGAGGCTGTCTAACTTGGGGCATCATTGGTCACCAATGTTACCTTAATCTGTGATCTCCTTTGCTGTGTTATTTGGTGGTTCTGTGCCGTGATTCAGAGTCAGCAAATGCTACGGCTCTTGTGAGCCCCAAAATTGTTGCGAGGTAGGGCAGCTTGACATCGGTACAGCACTGCTCAAGCATGGTTACTCTTTATTATAGTCTCAGATTAGATGACAACATTTGTGAGAACAGATCTTAATTTAGCTGCCTCCCAGCACCACTTATCTATTCACTTTACCAAAATGGCCCTTCAAATCCACTCTTAAAACCGCAATTCTCCCTTGCAGTGCCTTGTATCTTGGACATAGTACACATCCTGATGGACATAGTACACATCCTAATTTCTCTTGCCCTTCCCTTTGCAATGAAAGATTTGCTGGCTGCAGTGAACTGGAGCACGGTCTTAAGGGAGTAATGGTATTCACATAATTGCTGTCTGTAGAGAATTTCTCAGCTTTAAAAGAGATCTATGTGGAAAAAGAGTTTATAATAGGTTTTACTGATACTTGGCTGTGAAATAATACTGGTCTGGGCAGCAGAATGTTGCTAGGAAAATAACTGTAAACATCCCCACTTCTCTTTACAGCAGTTCATTTGCAGTGCTAATATTAAGCAGCTCTGTATCCTGGCTGTGATAGCTGTGTGTGCAGCTGGGTCATGTAATAAGTTGGGAATTTGATCTGCTTGGGGAAAAAAAAAACCTGCAAAAATTTGCTCTTAACCAGACTTTTTCCTTGGTCTAGTTCATTCTGTGGCCACACACACACTGCTGTTTTGGCACAAACACAGGAGCAGGGCAGGACCACAAAAGCGAGATGGGTATGAGAACTATTAAACAGACTTAAGTATCTGTGTTGCTGAAGGCAAGAAAGGAGCCCCGAGGGCCACAGAAAAGAAACAAGGGGAAAAGGCTTTGTCTGAGTAGCTAAATTATTCCTCCCAAAAGAACGGGCGGCTCCAGAGCTGTCTTGTTTCACCTGGTGGTGCACTCTGATAAAAGTCCAGTTATACCCCAAATGACAGAAAATAATGGGGAGGGGGTGTGGAGTGTTTCAGATCTTCTGAAAAATGTCAACTGAAATTCTTTCAGTTGGTGTTGTGAGGAAGAATAACCTTCTTGAGAGGTGAAACATCTCTCTCTTCTCAGCAGGATCACTTAAGACATTGCTTTGGCTGTTTTGATGTTAGGGTAGATGCTGTGACTTTAAATCTGGAACTGACAACAGAAGAAACCCTTTGGAAGGAGAACACCTGGACATGGCAAATATGATCAGAACACTTGTGCCCAACCAGAATTTCAGATTAGAATCATAGACTCAGAACGGGTTGGGTTGGAGGGGACCTTAAAGCCCATCCAGTTCCACCCCCTGCTATGGGCAGGGACACCTCCCACTAGCCCAGGTTGTTCAAAGCCTCATCCAGCCTGGCCTTGAACCCCTCCAGGGATGGGGCATCCACAGCTTCTCTGGGCACCCTGGGCCACTGCCTCACCACCCTCACTGTTAAAAAAACCCATCATTTTCTTCCTTGTGTCCAGTCTGAATCTACCCTCTTTCATCTTAAACTGTTGCCCCACATCCTGTCACACCGTGATAAAGTCTCTATCTGTCTTTCTTATAAGCCCCCTTTGAGTATTGAATGGCCACAGCAAGGTCTTCCTGCAATGTTTTCTTCTCCAGGCTGAACAACCTCAGCTGTCTCAGCCTTTCGTCACAGGAGAGGTGCTCCAGGCCTCAGATCATTTTCACGGCCCTTCTCTGGACCTGCTCTAACAGGTCTACATTATTCTTGTGCTGGGGACCCCAGAGCTGGACGCAATACTCCAGATGGGGTTTTATGAGGGCAGAGTAGAGGGGGAGAATCACCTCCCTCAACTGGGGATCTTTGTCTAGAGGTGACCTTGGTGCGGTTGTCTGCTGCATCACTGGATAGAAGCCTTCACCCCTGCAGAGTAACCCCAGAGCACTGGCATACAGGCAGCTTTGTGTTGGGCCTTACCATCGCAGGCTGTGTTGATCACAGCAAGTTTGCGTTGTGCAGAGTGGTAAAGCTCATGGATTAAGTGATTATCTGCTACACATGCCCAAGAAAGCCCAACAAGTGGTATACGTGGGACTGGAAGGCTTCCTTGGGCCCTGGGCAGCTCATGTATGTTGGCTTTTAGGAGAAGACCTCTGTTGTGCTAGGAAAGGTGTCAAGCAGAGGTTGCTAATGGTTTCTTAAATACTTCTCATTAAGAAAACCTGTGAAGAAAGGTTGTGCCATAGGTGCATGACATGATGGATCTCTTCTTTCATGTGTTCCTTCTTCGTATTAGTGTATGATAAGATCCATAACCTTTCAGGATGAATGACTTCCTAATAATGTGGACAGAGGAGAATGTGCTGTCAGTTTTCTCATTTCATGTTCTGGAAGGGGTGAATGTTGTGGCTGATGTGCTCGCCAGACAATAGTGAGATCGGTGAGTATTTCCTGCTGGGAGAGGAGTGTGTTTGCAGCCTTGTCAGTCTGCTTCTTTCCTGTCTTCCTCTCCAGGGCATTGATCCTTTTCCCCAAAGAAAGCAAAGATAGTTGACTGGCTACAGCAGGAACTGCAGCAGCCCTTCCCACTTTCCTTCCCTGATGTTTTCTAGCCTTCTAGTAAGGTGTTGAGCATTACTACAAAGCAGAAGAGTGCTAACTGAAATCAAAAGAAGCCTTGATTTTTCTGAGCTTAGTATTTGTTCTCCCTTCTGAAGTGATCCACTGTGAAGGGAATCGGTAACACATAAAAACTGGGAA